TTTACTTGCTGAGAAGATTCTATTCTTCTAAAACAATGTGCCCTTATTAATGAGAGAGAGAGAGAGAGAGAGAGAGAGACACGCCTGTGTCATCTTCACTGTGATGAAATCAATTCCTGAGACAGTATTCTCCAGAATCTTTTTGACCAGGGCCTCTGATTACATTGTAACAAAAATCATAGCTACAATTATCATTCACATTATAACAATGTAAGTAGCAAACAAACTCTTGGGAAGAAAAACAAAAGGTCAAATTAAGCACACCATAATATCAACCACAGCTGTGTTTCAATGGGACTATGACTGATTTTTTTCAAAAGAAAGTTTCAAGTTCTACCTAACCAGGCAAGATGCATCAACTTCCTTATACTCTTACCATCCTTCACATCTATGTCCAAAGCTTATCCTCCATAAAATCACAACATGAATCATTAACCAACCAAAGAAACAAAAATCCTTGGCAGGAACAAGTCATGTCCATGATCAGAGCATCAGTCTCCCTGCCTGGAAAATGAAGTTCTGACCCTCACAACACAAAAGGGCCCCTTTCAGTTGTAAAACTCTCACATTTTAGGGGCAGGGTTCAAATCTCATGGCTCCCAGTCTGCACAATTTGAAACCTATAAGCTGGACATCCCTACTGTGGACTTGAGAGGTACCTAGGCAATAGCAGAAACAGGAGGAAGTGCTGTCTTGTAGGAGTGGCCACCCAGACCCAGCCAGACCCATTCACCACTTAGACACAGACTGTCACTCAGCTTGTACCTGCAGCCTGGAAAAATACTCCAAGACGCTAGACTCAAAATAATAGGATGCACCAGGCAGGAAGACCCCATATCCAAAGTTACTCCACAGACACAAGATAACAGGAGTCCAAAAAATAACACAACCATGGCCCTGGAGAAAGGGAGCCCCAGTGAACCAAAGCCATGAGCAAAGAAGGAAACACCAACCGGGTGGCGTGGCTCTTCCTCAACAGTAGATTGGGAGAGAGGGGAGAGTAAGGGGATCCCGGAGGGCTGACTTAGAGAACGCCCACACAGCCAGAGCTGAGCATGCTCAACGACCTCACCAGCTGCTGCTCGGCAAAGCCCAGCCTGATCCACTCTGCTGCCCCCAGAGCTCTCCGGGCCTTGATCAGAGCCTAAAAACTTACAGGCAGAAGGAAGGATTAACTCTCAGAGACCCAAAGTAAACCCTGATAACTTCTTTGATAAGAAATAGCTGGGGCACCTGAGTGGCTTAGTCTGTTGGGCGTCCGACTTTGGCTCAGGTCATGATCTCGCGGTTCGTGGGTTCGAGCCCCGCGTCGGGCTCCGTGCTGACTGCCAGCTCAGAGCCTGGAGCCTGTTTCAGAGTCTGTGACTCCCTCTCTCTCTGACCCTCCCCTGCTCGTGCTGTCTCTCTCTCGCTCTCCTAGAAATAAATTTAAAAAATAAAAATAAAAAAAGAAATAGCTGTTTACTGGTGTGTTTCATACAGGGATACTGAATACACAGCACCGATGAGCTCAAAAAAGGCTGTGGCAGAGATGAGCAGGTAGGGGCAGGGCAAAGACTTCCCATTTGCAGGAGGCCTTTGGTGGTCAGACCCTCTGCCACCACCTCTTGGTTTGCTCCAGGTGCCCCTGCTCCAGGCCCCATTACACGCCTCCCCCTCTCACTGCACTGTCACTGAACTTTCCTGTCCATTCATCTCTCATGAGAGATTGCAGCTCCTTAAGAAAAGGGACTCTTCCACCACCTGCGGCCCTCAGGTCTAGTATAGATGTTTGGTGTTTGGCACAGAGAAGTGGCTCGGTAAATATTCACTGAAAGAAAAGTACACAAGCTTTGTATTCCCAGAGCCAAAGGGCTCATTACTTGTTGCACTGAACTATACCAGTTTCACAAGTGTGATGCTTAAAGAACAGTACCCCACAGCTTCTTTAGGGGTACAGGGTAGCACAGTACTTATGAACACTGGAACCCTGGAACCTCAACTCTGGGCTCAGACCCATGGGGGTCCGGATCTCAACCTGTCATCTACTGGCTGTGTGATCTACAGACCCATGGACAGGTCTCCAGGCCTCGGCGTCACCATCTGTAAGGAGGGTGGAAGTAGCACCATCCCCAGGATTCAGTGCACAGGACGATTAGCACTGGGGTTGATACTTAGGACTCCTCCGATCAATGATTGTTATTATCACTCACCATGCCCTGGGTCTGAGCTATAGGATAAAGTTTGCCCAGCCCTGCTAAGAGATCCCACTTATCTCTGCTTTTATTAAAAGTCACTTAAGCACACCTAAAACTAATATAATACAGTAGGTTAACTACCCTGCAATTTTTTTTAAGCCACTTAAAAGTTTGGCCATCACCTTGCTTTGTCTGATTTTTTCCTTTTTTTAGCGTTTATTCATTTTTGAGAGGGAGAGCGTGAGCAGGGAGGGGGCAGAAAGAGGGAGACACAGAATCCAAAGCAGGCTCCAGGCTCTGAGCTGTCAGCACAGAGCCTGATGGAGGTTCAAACCTGTCTGGGTTTCTTTGAAGTTTAAACTGGCTGAGGTCCTTTGCAAGTTGAAATTAAAAAAAAAAAAAAAAAAAAGTCTATGGCTTATGTTGTTTTATGTTGTTTTCTTACTGCAGCTCAATTTCCAGGGGCTTCCCGTTAACATCACCATCATGGGGGTGTCCTCATGGAAAAGCAGCCTGGGGCCCAGCTAGGCACCTGCAGGGAGGAGTGGCAGCCGCATGAGTATGGAGTGGAGGGACTCCCTGTGTAGGGAGTCCATTTCCAAGCTGGGGAGCCAGCACCAGAGACAGCAAATTCTGAAACTCTCCTTTTCTCCCTACTGACCTCAGATGTCCTCCTTCCCCACCCAGCACATTCCTCTGGTTTGGTCCTTCTAAACTGCAGTCTCTCCCTGGCTGCAAAATTTGTTTTTGTAAATCAGTCTCAGAATAGAATATCCCCTCTCCTGGAGCCAACTGAGCAGTCTAAGAGCAGGGGCAGATCTGCTCTTTACCTATTTTTCTTCTTCCCAAATAACTCTTAAAAGGCGGGGGGGCGCCTGGGTGGCTCAGATGGTTAAGCGTCCGACTTCAGCTCAGGTCATGATCTCGGGTTTCTGAGTTCCACAGGAGGCCTACACACCGCTGCTGGGGCCGCCGCCATGTCTCTCTTCATCCCTGAGAAGTTCCAGCACATCTTGCGAGTACTCAGCACCAATATCGATGGGCAGCGGAAAATAGCCTTTGCCATTTCTGCAATTAAGGGTGTGGGGCAAAGATACGCTCATGTGGTGTTGAGGAAAGTGCACATCGACCTCACCAAGAGGGCAGGAGAGCTCACTGAGGATGAGATGGAACGTGTGATCACTATTATGCAGAATCCACACCAGGATAGGATCCCAGACTGGTTTTTGAACAGAAAAAAGGATGTGAAGGATGAAAAATACAGCCAGGTCCTGGCCAATGGTCTGGACAACAAACTCTGTGAAGACTTGGAACGACTGAAGAAGATTCGGGCCCACAGAGGGTTGTGCCACTTCCGGGGACTTCATGTCCGAGGCTGGCACACCAAGACCACAGGCCGCAGGGGTCGCACTGTGGCTGTGTCCAAGAAGATATAAATCTGTAGGCCTTGTCTGTTAATAAATAGTTTATATATCTAAAAAAAACAAAAACAAAAGAAAAAACAAAATAGACCAGGAAACCCAGCACAGCTTTCCCAATATTCAGGGGCTGCCTATTCTAGCAATTCAAAGCTGAGTTGACTCGGGCTTTGAGGAATTTTTAATGTCATCCCCTGAGTTTCCAGAGACAACTGGTGAAAACACAGCTAGTGCCAGAACCAGGTCAGCCTCCCAGCCCAGCACATTCTGTGCTGGACACAGCATTCCTGGTTCAGCCATGCTTAGAGTAGGGCGCGTCTTTGTGGTAATCCACAAACCCCTTTGCCTGAACAATTCTGGGTCCTCAGCACCTTTCCACGGGCCACCATAGAATTGCAACACTGGTTCTAGAATCATTTTTTTCTGTAAATTTTTTTTCTTTTTCCCACTTTAACATGTAACTTCCTTTAAAATGTCTAAGGCGCCTTCCCCAAAGAAACTGTTTGCTTTGCTTTTACTCCTCCAGTCTCGGGAAGTCCCCTAGGAGGAGCAGCCTAATTCATCATTGGGTGGCCTTCACGATCGTCGTCACTTGCTGAAATGGTATTCAACGTGTTCTAGCCCAGAGTCTAACCATAATCACTCTTAAAGAAACTTGCAATCGTGGGACTGCATTTAGAGTCATGTGTAATTTGAGTTTTCCATAGGCCGTCTCTGCAGTTTTCATCTTCCTTCCCCAGCTCTGCGTTTTGGATCCCAGCCAGCTCCCCGAGGGGTAGGTGGGGTGAAGGCAGCAGCACATCTCCAAAGGGGGCAAAGCAGCCTGGGCTTTTGCTTTAAACCAACCCCCGACGTCCACACCCCCTGGGCACTTGTTAGAAATGCACATTCTTGGGCCCTGCTCCCGACCTGCGGGATCAAGTATGCAGGGAATTCTGGCCCAGGTTTAGGTGTAAAAGACCGACTTGCTCAGATGGTGTGTTTACCGGAACACAAACCACAGTCAAGATTTTAGAAACAGCTGGTGGACAGTAAGTGCCTGACTGGCTCCTGACCCCCCAGGAACATATCCCACTTACATGCATGTTGCCCTCATTCATCATTCATGAGTCTCTGGGGTTCTGACTCCACAGGGCTGCCCATCTGACACGAGGCTTGCTAATGAGCAGCACCCGAGCGCCCCTGCTACCCGCAACTCAGCGTGGCAGAGACGCACCGCATAAGGCAGGGCAGAGTCCACAACCTCCTTCCACACTCTGCTCTCGGGGAAACAAACAAGGGGAGGGCCCAGAGGTGTCATCTGACACGAATGACGGCCTCTTTATTTCCTAGGCAAAAGAGCCGGGGCAGAAAGACAAAAGCGGCTGCCTTCAGTAAGGACGAACTGAGCTGCGTGGGCAAGGTGATGCTGGCAGCTGCCTCTGCAGACTCCAACTCCAGCACCATGAACGGGTCATCGGCTCACCTCCACTTTGCTGGAGGGTACCTGCCCTCTGACTCCAAGGACTGGAGGACCATCGTGCCGGCTCTCTTGGTGGCCGTCTGCCTGGTGGGCTTCATGGGGAACTTTTGTGTGATTGGCGTCCTCCTCCATAGCGCTTGGAAAGGAAAGCCGTCCATGATCCACTCCCTGATTCTGAACCTCAGCCTGGCTGATCTCTCTCTCCTGCTGTTTTCTGCACCCGTCCGGGCTACAGCATACTTCAAAGGCGTCTGGGACCTAGGCTGGTTTGTCTGCAAGTCCTCTGACTGGTTCATCCACACGTGCATGGCGGCCAAGAGCCTGACGATCGTTGCCGTGGCCAAAGTGTGCTTCATGTACGCAAGTGACCCAGCCAAGCAAGTGAGTGTCCACAACTGCACCATCTGGTCAGTGCTGGTGGCCATCTGGGCCGTGGCCAGCCTGCTACCCCTGCCAGAGTGGTTCTTTAGCACCACCAGGCTTCACGCGGGTGTGGAGATGTGCCTCATGGACGTGCCCCCCGTGGCCGAAAGGTTCATGGCAATGTTTGGCAAGCTCTACCCTCTCCTGGCATTTTGCCTTCCGTTACTTTTTGCCAGCTTTTATTTCTGGAGAGCTTATGGCCAGTGTAAGAAACGAGGGACTAAGACTCAAAATCTGAGAAACCAGATGCGCTCCCGACAACTCACAGTGATGCTGCTGAGCATTGCTGTCACATCTGCCGTGCTGTGGCTCCCCGACTGGATTGCTTGGCTGTGGACATGGCATCTGAAGGCTGGAGCCCCGGCGCCACCACAAGGTTTCATAGCCCTGTCTCAAGTCCTGATGTTTTCCATCTCTTCGGCAAATCCTCTCATTTTCCTACTCATGTCCGAAGAGTTCAAGGAAGGCCTGAAAGGCCTGTGGAAATGGATGATGACCAAAAAACAACCAACTGCCTCAGAGTCTCAGAAGACACCGGCTGGTAATTCAGATGTCCCTCCTGACAACATTCCCTCTCCTGGGTCCCCAGCACCCGTACCAGAGAAAGAGAAGCCTGGCTCTCCCTCCTCCAGCGGAGAGAGAACAGAGAAGGCACAGATTCCCATCCTCCCTGATGTAGAGCAGTTTTGGCATGAGAGGGACACAGTCCCTTGTGTACAAGACAATGACCCTACCCCCTGGGAACATGAAGACCAAGAGATGGGAGACTGTGATAAATAGATAAGTTTCCAAGCTAAACAAATTGTGATTATATTTACATGTACTGCCGCTTGTCGATACCGCAGACCTTACCACATAGAACAAGGTCAAATCACTAACCTAGGAACTACAAAAATGCTTCACAGTATGCATTTTAAAAATGTGCCGTTTGTTAAGTATTAGACCGTGTTAGGAGTCGTGTCATGCTGAGGTTTCAGAATTATATCCTGGCTATCCAAGAATTAACTTCAGTGTTGTGTGAAAATGCTTCTGTCACACCTGAATAGAAATTCCAGATACTTTGTCCTTTGTTCACAACTGCTCTTTTACTGGGTACTCCTTTGGGTACTCCTTAGGGTTACCCTGGACTGGCTGAAATAGAGCTTATTTCTGTCAAAGGCTGAGCTCCTTTACTTTTACTTTCTTCCTGAACCTGCTAGCCTTAACTTCACTATCAGACATTCTTTCGCTTAACCAAAGCTCAAAATCAACTTCCACTTCAGAGATTGTAAACACATTAATGAATGTTAGTAAGTTATCTTCATTTGCTTTATAAAAGTTACTTTATGAAAATTCACATAGATTTCCCATGACTGAAGGTTAACAGAATAAGGATCACCACTTTCTTGTGGGCTGATTTCAAACCATGGCTTATTGCGGCTAAGTTTTAAGAAAATCCAAACTTTGCCTTATACTAAAACTTGCTTCACTAGTCTATGTAAAGCCACCTCTGCAAGTCTTCACTTGTGAAGTCTGAGGATTTTAGCACCTTAGCATGACATTCTAAATTCTGATATGGACTAAGAACTTTAAAAACTGCCCTTCCTCTTCCCAATTACCTACACTTCCAGAATGCAGGAGACAAGTACTCTTCCACAAGCTGCTATCAATCTGTTTCTCCTGGTACTTCATTTCTGTCAAGATAAATATAAGCTGTAGTTAATGATAAAGGTATTAATTACTGAAGGCAATCCTCAAATATAAAAAAGGAACAGAGATGGTGATCTTGTTAAATGGTACTAAATGTCCCCTGAATATTGAACTTGAACCCTGCCCGAGTTTTAAAATACCTCAGGGTCTTTGTTATAAAGATGATCAAGAGCAACAAGGAAAAAAATTACTAGGAAAAAATTCCATGGATACAAGACAGAATTTGGTTAAGAATAGAAAACAAACAACAAAAGGGTGATGGAGAAAGGAAAGCACTACTACTAAATTTTGTGTTAACACTTTACCAATATAATTCAAATAAAAGGCAACAACTTCATTTTATAGCCAGCTAAAGCATACCCAATAAAACAATCATTATGATACATTCCTGATTAAATATAAGGACATTTATCCATGATTCTTGATTACTTTATAATGGAACTCTGGGGTATTTTCACTGAGGGGTTCCCTCAGAAAAAAACTGCCATTAGGCCAAGCCATGGAGAACTTAAAATACAAAAATATGCTGTGGAAGGCATTTGTATTTTTTTAAAAATGTCCAGTCTGCGGGTTTTTTGGTATTTTTCTTTTTGTTTTTACAGGTGGTCATGGTTTGCTTTTTAACACAGAAGACAGGGCTGTTTTCACTTTACCTGGTTCATTACAAATTTTTCTTTTAAGGCTCATGAGTTCACAAAGTACAATTTAACCCAAATACCCAAATACTGTTTTGTGAGACAACAGTTAAACAAAGGGATTACCTTGAAAATTGCAGTGAACTATTTGAATTAAAGATTATTCACTATATAATATAGTAAATGTTGGATGTGAGCTTCCAGTGTTTGGCATTTTAACTTGTAAACAAATAAAAACAACCGCTTTACTTCACATAGTTTTGGAGACATAGAACTAGCTGTCTTTGTCTTGAATGCGCCTTTCAAAATCACGTGGCACAAGAGGGCTTTTATGGGAAGGTCAGACCTTAGTACTAACATAGATCTCAGGGCAAACTGTATCATGTACTTTTAAGGAGTTTGCTGGTATGCGCCAAGTCAAGATGCAGATACTGAAACACGTATAATTATGATGACCTTTTCATTAAGAACCTTAAAGAGTGCTGCCTTGATCTTTTAAAGAACTCTGCATAGTAAAGTTTGATTTGTACCTTAAATGAATAGTCAATCCCAAATACTTCAAAACAGAGGTAGGAAATCAGAATAGGTATCACCAAACCAGTTTTTTTCACACTTTCCAACTAACTGTGAGAAACATCAAGTAGTGAGTGGGCAAACATTACTAGGTGGAATTCAAATAAAATACAGCATTCTAGATCTTTCACTTTAGTCAGCCAGTTATATTCGTACAATAGCTGTGCTCCTTTTGGCAAACACTTCAGTTTCATTCCTCACAGAACTTAAAAATCACTCAGTGGGTTTATACAAATGACCTTCAAAAAAAGAGAAAACAAGACCAAAAAAATGGGAAAAATGTCTTGCTGATTATCACCTGTACAGGTTAGGACCTTAGTTAATTCGAGTTTCTTACATACATAATTTCTGTGACACTTAATATGTTTAAGCGAAGTGTAACAGAAGTGTGAATGAGTCTGTATGCATGTGATCTGTGTCTGTGTGCACAGAACGTACAAACAACTGGTATTTCCTCATTGTAGGTTTTGTTGCAATCACAGTAGGTGGGACAGAAAAGGGAAAGTAAGTTATCCAATTAACCTCTTTTTCTTAAACACGAATGTGGCACTCTGAAATGAGAAATCTATGAAGGAAGGAGACAGGAATCTTTAAAGTGGGGAATTACAGCTAGAAAGAGCGAGTGGAGGTCAAAGGTAGGTTTCAGGGCACGAAGTGCAGGACACACCAGAAGGGTGCCAATAAGGCATTCACTGTTGACTGTGTTCATATGAAGAAAAAAACAAGAAAACACACACAAAGACAAAAACATCAGCATCTTCTTGCTATGCAGCAGTAAGATATTGCTAAGAGACTGAGCACCAACATGGTTCTTTACAAATTCCTTTCCTTTCATACTGCAAATAATTTACTATATTCAAGCCTTTAAACACCATGTGATACTTAGGATTTGAAGTCAACTTTCTTTGTTGACTCCAAATTACAGTTGCTATTGCTTTTAAGAACAGGTTTAAAAGAAGTTTCTATTATAAATTATGTAACAATAATCATATACAATCCACATATATAAAAAGGGTTGGTTTATTGTAGTTCAAATACATAAACTGAACATTCAAACATCTTAAAATTAAACTTTAGAAATAAAAGTTTAACATTCAAACTGGAGTATAGTTTACAGGGAACACCCAAGAAAGATAATTTGTTGTCTAATCCAGAATATTGATAAAGATTACTTAATGGTAAATACAACGTGTTTAACCATCAATCCTAGTCTGGCCAACATGTTAGTTATGACCATGGTTCCATACCTGAGAAGAAATTACTAAATAAGTCTTCTCTTCGGCTAAACAAGACTTGGCCTAGAATTCAGAGGGGGTAATCAAAGCACATTAAGTGAACAAACAAAACTAAAGTGTTCTTTAGAGACAAAGGTAAAAGTATGTCCATTATAATAATCTTAACCTCTGGAAGATAAGAATTTTCAGTGTTTTCTCTTTTACCCGCTTTAAAAAACAAAATCAAAATAAAACAAACCCCAACTTAGGTTCTCTTGGAGTCTGTGGTATTTGCATCTCGCAAGTTCAAACCACAAATGCTCTTACGTCTTGCATGTTTAACACTGCTAGAAAGAACATCACCAAAAGTCACTGACTTCCACACCTCATAAAAGGATGATTTTTAGCTTCAAGATTTTAGGTTTACTAGAGACAGCCTATATTTGAGTATGTATGTCAGTCATGCCACACAAAGAAAAGCATAAATTATTTCCAAAGTGTTCTCTGTTCAGAAACTGTTCACGAATGCTTCTCCTTCTGTCCGTCGGATGGTTCTGCAACAGTCTGACTAATGCACACACATGTAAAAACCTGGAAACTGGCTCATGCAAGCGTTGTTGGATTAAGATGCCCCTGCAGAAGAGTACTGAGAACTATTTTGTTGATCGTCTCGTGGGCTCTGACGCTGTGGGAGGTGGGGGTGGGCCCCGGCGATCCAGGTCATCCACGTACGCCACAATCAGTTTCCGCCTCTCCTCTGGCACACAGTCTAGTACTAGGTACCGTTTGTCGTTCTGCAAAATTTTTTCTACATCTTTCAGGTGCTGATCAGACTCCTGGATTAGCTTTTTGGATCTGAAATAAGAAAAGAAGTCCAAGAATTACTGACTGCTGTCCATAGGTCTTTCAGAAATGCGCTGGAAATGTCCATCTAGTTCCTAATTGTGTTTCCATTTTTTTTTTTTTTTTTTTTTTTTTAAGAAAAATTTCACTGCAGTGGTCACCTTTGTAAGTCGCCTCAGCAAAGACTCCAAGGAGTGAAAGGGCCTCAGAAGCTGAATTACCCTCCCACCCCTACTGGCGGTCCCTCCAGATCAGGGCTGAGGGTGGGTGGGTAAATCTTGCCCGTGCTGTACCTGTTCTGTGGATGAACAGAGGACTTCAGTCTGCGGGGCTGCCAATCCCAGCATCTTTCACAAGCTTTCACTTTCACATCTTTCACTAAATTAACTATAAAAATGTAGAAAGAAGTCTTACTTCACATCTAATTTAAAAGCCCAAGCTGATGCAAAACATTAAGGATCCTGACCAAAAAATCCAATGACAAAATACCTAAAAACCACACCCTCAGCACTATCTATCCTCCCGTGCACATACCCTTCATTAATATGTTTCCAATTTTTCTCTTAAAGGAAGAAAAGCTGGAGCATGAAACAATTTCCTGTGCACTGGCTGCTAAGCATCGAGCATCATAAACTTGTTTTCCTGAGGGTATAACGGTTGGGAATGTGGAACAACCGGGCACATTACAGAGAAATCTTGTCTCAAAACTCTGATTTTTATCACTTAAAATTTTTATTTAAAAGTATCCAGCAAATTGCTATTGTCTGGCAATAAAAACTTTTGCTGAGCTATTTTTAAATAAGATGATTTCGAACTTAAGAACTGT